GCCCCGGCGAACATAGTTATTCAGTTCATATAACCTCTCTTATGAGGGCGCCATGTAAATGCGAAGTTACCACCGCTCGCCGCTGCAGTTACTAATGTTTGTACTGCAGAAACTAGCGGCGATTTTATTTTTTCCATAAAAAAGATTTAGCTCATTGCATAATGTTATTATCATTAGGGATTTTCATAAATATATTAGGAAGTAAGTAAGGGTGCGCCCACAACCACATAACTCGTCCAAGAAGGGACGGGGGTTAGAGGTCAGGAAACAACACGTCGGACCACATTAAGGGACGGAGAGATCCCGGAAGAACTAAAGTATTCGTATGACTTCCAAAGTGAATGTAAATTATTTTCAAAATAAATGAATGAAAACTTAAAACTGATCAAATATTTAATACATTACAACACAGTCACACAGTTCACATATGTTTCACACAAGTGTCTTTACATTCGTATGGTATATATAATACATATCACGGTACCCTGATCAGGCGCACTTATGCTTTTTGGCTCAAGATTCATCCCCATCTAAGTCCCTACAGATATGGCAGTAATCGTTTGAGAAGCAGCCCGTTTTACTACCATGAGGCCTCATAAGACAGTGCCTAATTACTACACCCGTCGTTATCCTTATGGAGGTCGGATTTGGAAGGAGTAAAGATTTTGTTCCGTTTATTTAAATTAATGATCAGATCTACCTTGTCAAATTGCACGTGGTTTCGTTCTACCATCTGTTGTTGGTCCAGAAAATCGGTATACCCACGTCGTGTTCAGAGTTTTCCGTGGTTAAGACTGTTCCGTCTCTGCCAGTTCGTCGGTTAAGCAGATCTCTTTTCATTCAAAATTTTTTTTAAGACCTCAATACATTTTATTGCCATCTTGCACCCTGGCTGTCAGAATATTGTGTAATAGGTTATAATAACGTACTGAAAACGAGCAATCATGAAGCCGCTTTCGTTATAGCGGTTGGAATACGCTGCAGTGGGCGGGAAAGCATTTACTTAATTTTATAGCAGGCGATTTAAAATAAACTCCGTAACCTACTTTTCCATCTAGCTTAGAGCCGTCGATGAAGATGATTATGGATTTAAGATCCAAGACTACTGTATTTTCCCGATTCGTTCCTCTCGGAGATTTTTGTTGAGAAAGTATGGCCAAAACAGAAGACAGAATTGGTATAGTCAACTTCTTCCGAGAGTGGATGTAGAGTTTAGTATTTGGGCGTGCTCTATTCGGTTTATCGATAGTTCCGTTGCATTCAGTCTTATGGCGTTGCAGCACCCATGAGATTTTCCGTATAAGTCTGTCTGAAGATTAAGCATAAGTTTAAGACTTTTCGTAGGGGTTGAAGGTAGTTACTTGTAATGATTATGGAGGCCGTCTGCTGAATTTTTCCCTGTTCACTTCTTCGGTGCAAAATCTGGAGAAGAAAAAACTCGGCAATGGAACTCAAAAATTTATTACCCATCGTGAAGCATGGCGGCGGCAGCGTCATGGTTTGGGGAGCTGTAACAACGTCTGGCGTTGGGGAGCTGGCATTTATTGAAAGATCGAATTCAATATAAAAGTTTGATGGAACCATCAGTGGAATGTTTGGGGCTTGGGAGAGGTTAGATTTTTCAACAAGATAATGATACCAAGCATACTGCAAAATCTGTAAAAGAATGGCTATTATACTACGCACCCAGACAACTTTATACACCCCCACAAAGCCCAAACTTAAACCGTTTAGAGCACGTATGGTTGCTGTTGGAACAGAAACTCGGCAATTTCGAATAACAAACGCGGGTTCATTAATAACCCACCTAGGCCCAAATTACCCCAGAAGAAGTATCCAACTTAGTTGCGTCAACGCCACGACGCCTTCAAGCAGTAATGGACAATTATTCCAAATTTTACATATTTAGGGCTTGTGAGCTATTTTGTTTCAAAACTAAGTTGTATCGCTTTGCTCTGTTAATATTTTTGAAATTTCTCCATAAGATTTGTTGTCTTGCCATTATGGCTCAATTCAGAAGATATTTCCTTTCTTGGTACCATTTTTTCTATCTACTTTGTGGTAGTCAACCAAAAAACTTTAATAACAAGTGCGCTGTATGTAGACTTTTGTCATCTCAATTTTTTATGTTTTGTGAATATTTCCGTTATTTAGCGAATGAACCAATTTATTGTTTATTTTTTCTGTTTTGTGAATAAATATGAATATTAACCAAAACTGTTTTCCCCTTTAATATTCAAATTGTAGGAAACAGCGAAAAACTGAGGCTGTACTCGTATGTAGACTTTAGTCCTTCACTGTATATGTTTATATGAATTTGAATTACATAATACATTTTCTCCAGTTTTGACGGAAGTTACTAAATTTTTTTTTATAACCGGGAGCCAATAACTGTTTTAATTTTTTTGATAACATTTCCTAGTGCCTGGTTGTCCTAAATTTTTCATGAATTTCTAATAATTTTTTTTTCGAGTTCCTTTGGATCATGTAAATGTAGTGCATATCAATTTTTTCTAAATTTCACACAATTTTTCGCATAGTTTTTCATATTTTCGGTTTCTAGTTTGTCTGTTATATTAAATATGTCTTGATCTCGAGACTGGGTTATTTATAACTGGAAGTCTATGTTCTCGCTTTCTGTTGCTGCAATTGTTTTTGTACAATCGAGTTTAGTTCCATTTAAATTATCTACATGTGGCATTTTTGCTCCTGTGTTTAATCCTAATGCCCATCGGCTATTATGCTGTTAATCAGTTTTTGAAATGAAACTGCCTTAGCGGCGTTGATAGGGATTTGTAGGAGAGACCAAGTTATTTGAATAAGTATTTACTGTATGTTTGGGTCACATGGTCCTTTAAAAACTAATCTATCTATGTACTCCTTGGATTACTGCGATGTTATGCACCATATTCTGGTCCAGCCCCAAATAGATATATTGATAGTATCATATACTTCATCCACCATTCGCTGCTGATGTACAGTCAAGCTCTTATTGACAAAGAAGGAAATAAATATGATTATTGGCAGTGATTTCGAAGCAAACTTTCAACCTGATGATTCACGACCATTGGTTAATTTTCTTCTTGAAACTTTCAATTTGCGAATGATTACTCATCCCAATACCTTATCAACGAAAATGGGAACGACGATACTTTGCTCTAGTTACAATTGGCTCGATGAATCTGACGATCTGTGTGTATGCAAATAAAAGAAATAAATTAATAATAAATGTGTTATTAGTATAATCATATGTTGAATTTATTTCCGAATGTTTCTCTCTCACTATCATTACTCATTCTCTCAGCAAGATTGCTATAGAAGCTTAACTTTTTTCCTATGTACTGAGCTACACCTGTTTTTTTTTTTTATAAAATTAAGTGTTAAGGTAAGTGAATTGCAGTCCGTTAAAATCTATAATTATTTCCTTCGAGGTATTCACGGAATCGTCTTAGCGCATAAGCCCAGCTCAAGCTGCGGTATTTACTCTCTGCTTCAGATAGATATATATATATATCCAATTTGTTGTTTTGCGTCTTGATGTTTTTACAACAAATGGAGGGACCTACAGTTTATACTAAGCCACCTTCGAACGGCTAATGTTTTTTTTATGAGGAGTTTTATTTCATGTCAGAAATACACTCGGAGGGGTTGACATTACCTACCGAGGGACCGCCGCAATTAGAAAATTTAACTTAATTTTTTATTTAAATTAATTTTCTATAACTTTTGGATGTTGGTCGCACGGGGATTTAAACCCGAGCCTTCCGAATGGCAGTACGCAATGCTAACCACTCGGCAACTGCGGCCGCCGCTTCAGATAGCTGGTTCATTGTTAAGTCCAAAAGTCAAGAAATTCGTATTATCCATTTGCAATGACTAATGAAGTACATCCTCAGCCCTTCTGATTTGAAAAATCCTGATTTCCGCCTCATAATCTGTATTCAGAAGGGCTTCGGTTTGGTTTTCTCCATATTTATGTATGCATTTTTCCAAAATTAAAGGGAGCTTAGAGTTTACGCCAATATCGTTTGCTCTTAGCAGCTTCCTATACTTGGTATATTCAAACGTGTTGCATTGTCTTGTCTATCTGGAACTTTTTTCCTTTTTAAAAGATTTAAAATGGATCTTATATTTTGTATGGATTTATTTATTGTAGTTTTTGTTGTTGAATGCATAAGTTCATGTTTTTCAGGAAATCCCTTCCCAATAAAGTCAAAACTCATGTCACTGACTTTAAGTATAAACAAAATAAAAAAATATTAAAACTGTTATTTATCCGATTAGTTTTAGGTACTAAGAATTCCTTTAAATATTGGACTGCGCTTGTCGAGTGAAGAAACAAGTTTTTTAAAAGTAGAAATGTCCATGTGGTTGACATTGAAAGCAATTCTTACGTTGCTGTCAGCAGCTCTTAGCGAAGTGTTGAAACATCTTCTGGTTTCTCAGTTGTTGTCTGATGCACTGTATATATTCGACTTGTTGGCTTTTGAATCAGTTTTTCACATCTCGTATTTTTCAGAGCTGATACGCCGATAATGATAACTCTGCTGGTTACAATACAAAGCATTCGAGTACCTTGGTGTTGAGTGAAGTCACTAAACTTTAACAGGAACGATGTCAATTCTGTCAAAGCATCAATAGCAATTCGGCCAAACCCGATCAGCAACAATATCTCAATAGTCGTTCGCCAATACCACCCTAATGCTTATGAATTCTTATGGTTAATTTCAATTTCTTGCCATGGTTTTCCATAATTTTTCCGTAGAATCCTTCTTCTGAATCAACCAATCAGAGAAGAATATGTGATGTCTACCGAATGTTTTCATAAAAAAATTAAGAATTTAGCTACTTTTTAAAAATTTGTTCCAAAAAAGTCTTTTTTTACAAAGAAGGATTATAGTTTTTCAGTAAGTGAAAAACTTCTTCAGAATTTCACATTTGTACATACATACATAAATATGTAAATAATAAAAAATTATAGAAAAAGTGGTGAACAAAGTCAAAATATTTGTTCGAAAAAGCATAAACTGTCGAATAAAATTTTTTGTTTTCCCTCTCTACGAGTGACTTTTTTGTTCGGCATGTGGGCCGATGGGATCACCGTCCCTGCGTTCCTTTTTGTAAAACGTGGAAGGAGTTGCAGTAAACGTCAATTCAGATAGTTTTCGTGCCATGATGAGAGATTATAGTATCCAAATATTAAAGAGAATCATTTATACGATGTGTGGATGATTATTTGAAGCGGCGATATCTACTCTCTGTTAAAACGAAATTGAAGTCCCCAGTGCAGCTGTAAGGGGCCACAGACACTCTATTGGTCTTTCGGTCGACGGTTCGTGAAGCGGTTATGTGATTTATAGTCCGTAAAGTCTAGAAGCATGGATGATTACTATACAGGTGGCTTCATGAAGTTTCCTGTTCTCGTATTGTATGTTGGTACGTAACGTTTTTCCCCTCAGCTGTGGTCGGGTTGCCAGCTCAGTACTTTAGCGGCAATGGTTGCCGTACTACTACTTCCAATAATTGTGGGCTCCTGCAAGTGTGGTGCTGTGGATATGTGGGGAAAGGTTGGTGGACCGATTTGGCTCAACATTTTAGGTTGCTCATATTCACCACGAGAAGGCATTTCATTTTCGAGTGAAATCATAATGAAAATAATAATTGCGATATTTTGGTGTTCAGCATTCTACACAATTCATCAATTAGATTTGACTGAGGCCTTCAGAAACTGTGATGAGGATGATAACGCGATGATGGAATAACTGTGGAAGAACAAATGAGTTTAACGGCAGTGTCCGCCGTATAACATGCCCAATGTATATCTCATATGACCTTCAAGCTCCAGCCCGACTCTAACAACCTCTTTGCCGCATTTAGATGAGTTGGTTACCTAACAGTAATCTCGTAACGGTGTACGGATAATGTCTATTCGCTTTGCCTACATGATAAATGAGATGTAACGAACCGCTACAATAACAAACAAAAAAGGAATATTTTTTCATTCCTCGTCATTTATCCCCATGAATTGGAGTAAAATCTCTCCTTGTATTTTTTTTTCTTCGAATTCAGAAAATTTTGCATTTACCTGATTATGATAGCATTATTTTGATTATTTAAATTTATCTGAATAAAACGCATAAATTAAAATACTTTCGTAGTTTGATATACTCAAATTTGAAAATGGACCAGAGATCTTCTTGAAATACCGAGTTGTGCACTATGAATTCCATCCGCCTGGTCAAACTGTCGGCATGTCATGGATACATTGTCATGGATTCCTAAATGCAACTGTGCATACTTGCCATATTACCAAAACGTATCGGTAAAGTTATTGATGCGCAAACGAATTCGAACTGCTTTCACTTTTATCATAATTTCTTAGCAACAACGGCTGACGTCGGAGGGCAAGTTTTTTGCGCTAATTATTTTTTTAAACATATTATTTATTTTTTTCATCTGATTGCGTAGTATTTTGACGTTTTGGAACTCGTCACTACTTATGCACAAACCAATTTGTATAGAATTTTTACCAACGTTTTCCAATAAATGCCGAGTCTAAGTTTCACTCGTTTTAAACGAGGAAAATGACTAGGAATAAAATAGTTACCCATCAAATATCTCCTGGTAGATGAAGAAAAATTATTGAAAAAATGAAAGGAGATTTACCATTACAATTTTTTTCAGTTTTGTTTTTTATTAACTGTTTATTGAGTTACCTTAATATTCAACATTTTTAAATATTCATAATGACTTGGTGGTTTAGTCTGACATATTTTCCAACAATGGTTCTCTAAGTATTGTTTTGACGAGAAATAATAATTTGAAATCCTCACTGCTTTTAAATGAAAGTTTAGGATATTGCTTTGCACTAAGCACACGACTCATCATCAAATACAATTGTCTATCGAGAAAGGTCAAATACTTTTATGTCTATAGCTTTGTTCTGCATAAAATACTACAACACAACAACACAACTAAACCATATATCAGAGTATACTTGAAATTTTAATGACCCTCGACGATAACTAAAAATTAAAATAAATCAAATATCTTTAAATAAATATTGACTAATTAACATAATATAATTACTAAATACCTGTTTGGCAAATTTTAACATCAAAGTGAAAAAAAAAAACTTTAAACGAATACTTGATGAAAGACGCTTTGCACAAGCGAATGCGATATTTAATTTAATATTCAGATGAGCAACTATTGTACGTATTGGTTGATAATCCTTACACAGTATGACATAAGTTTATACAATTTTGCTATTCGAATAAACAATACTTTCCATTTTAAGCAGTTTTCTATTACATACTTAGTTTTATATTTCTTCCTATTTAAGATCTTTTTTTGTGTTATTGTTGATTAAAGGAGCATTGGTTATAATTTATTGTTTTGACCGAATGAATAACTTGTTTATACACATGAAGCGATATATAAACACTATGGAGTTTACGCTCATCCACTTCACAGTTTAGCACAGATTTCATTTGTGAATTCCGAGCATTTGGCTTTGCCACCCAAATCACCAGTCAAATGTGTGCCTTCCTTGATCACAGCGAAACAAGCACTCTGGATCTTATCAGCATGTTCATTCAACTCCATGTGTCGTAACATCATCACAGCAGACAATAGTAAAGCTGTTGGGTTGGCCAAATCCTTACCAGCGATATCGGGGGCAGTACCGTGAACCTGATTTATAATTAAATATAATTAAATATACCAATTTTTAGGAATATTGAATGTAACTTACAGATTCGAATAGAGCACCGTTCAAGCCCATGTTACCAGATGGCGTGAGACCCAAACCACCAACGAGACCGGCGCACATATCAGAAAGGATGTCACCATACAAATTAGGCATAACCTGTGTAGTAAATTAAAAAAATATTTAGTTATTTTTTCGAAACAATTGTGTGTTTAATATGCTCTTATATATTAACTCATACCAACACATCATATTTCTTAGGATCCTGCACCATATTCAAACACACTGTGTCCAAATAACGCTCTTCAAACTGAATTTCTGGGTACTTTTCGGCCATATCACGCGCACAACGCAAGAACAAACCGTCAGACATGCGCCTAGAGGCATATAAAAATCAAAAACCTATTTAGATAATTAATAGAAAAAACTATTTACATAATGTTGGCTTTGTGCACTACGGTAACCTTCTTCCTGTTGTTAGCCTTGGCATATTGGAAGGCATATTCGGCGACACGCTTTGAGGCCTCTTCGGTGATCAATTTGATACTTTGTACAACACCATCAACAATTTCGTGCTCAATACCAGAGTATTCACCTTCGGTGTTCTCACGAATTGTCACTACATCGACATCGTCGTAGAGGGTCTTATAGCCTTCCAAACTGCGGCATGGCCGAACGTTGGCATACAAATTAAACTCTTTACGCAGCGCCAAATTCAATGAACGATGACCTTTGCCGACTGGTGTCATCAATGGACCTTTCAATCCGATCTTATTTGTGTTGACCGAATCAATGGCTGCTTGGGGGATGCCGTATTTGCCGTCGGGACCCTGCGTTGAAGAAAGTGCATATTTATTATATCATTTATTTTTACGATCGAAAAAAACCTGTTTTATTTAACGTAATTATAACTCTCTAGTAATCAATGAATAATCCTCACATCAGCAAACGCAATGCTGGCAATAGAACTTTACAAAATCCTAATCTATTACAATAACCCGCTAATTGATTTCTGCTACAATTTAACCATGGTCTTATCAATCTTTAAATATTGCATGTGGCTTAGTGTGTTGGCATAATTTCGAAAAAATATGCAAACTTTGTTTAAAAAAAAGTTTTTTATGAGTGGAAAAAATTCTCAATACTACAAAAAGTGCTGCGTTTAAATTAATGGGCAACGGCAGGATTTTTAACAAAGCAAATTATGTAAGGTTTAGGAAAAATACAACTAATTTCGTATAAATACATACATACATACGCCCACTTATGTATTTTTAGCGTGACAAGCGTCTGCAAATTTGGTAATTAAAACCCAAATAAAAAAAATCAAAATTAATTTGTCGAAAACTGTCTGAGACAAAAGTAAAAAAAAAAAAAAGAAATTGTTAGTAAATACCATGATACTGTTATCTCAAAGCAATGAACTTGTACCCATACATATGTATGTATGTATGTAGTACTTGCAAGTGTGATGCGTAAGCTAATTCCCATACACATTAACACGAAACACTCCAGCAGTAAAACAAAATTTATACATTAATAAATAATAATAAAAGATCAACTACTCAATAATTTTTGTTAAAAATTTTACTCTAATCAGTGCAATAAATCTAAAATATAATAATACCATATGACGCGTTGCGTATTTGTCTAATAGGAATAATTATGGAAACCCACAAAACTTTTTAATATATTTTTTTTTTCGGAAAATACTTATTAAAAGAATTTAATTGATTCAGCTTAACAAGTGTAAATAACCTTTATTTGAAATTATTGTTCAAATCACATTTGCAAATTTTTTTTCAATTTAAATTGTTAGCTTTGCGTGCGTCTGATGTGATCTTTTTGAATCTGACATTAAAAAAAAACCAAATGAATGATAACACAAGTAGGCGTTGTAGGCGTGTAAATAATTAAGAACAATTTTATGTAAATATGCATGCTGCTTTGTATATGTGTCTATGTATGCATTGTGTATCGTCTGCACTTGTTAATTGATCCATAGTACATTATTTTCAGTTCCCATGAAGTGTATACTCATATATCATACCGTTTTTCACTCTTCCATTTTTCAAACTAATAAATAATTACCTCAATTTGATCAACAAAGTCAGAATTCTACGACATTATTATTATATTAGCAAATAAGCCAAACCATTTATTTGACATGCCCAATGCACTTACCATAACGGGAGTGACATCTACGGATTCCCATTCGATTGGCACATTGGCAGTGGTGAAGATTTTCTGCACAGCAGCTGAGATTTCTGGACCAATACCATCACCGGGAATTAGAGTGACTTTTTTTACACCAGACGCAAAGCCGCGGGTTGATGTTGGTGCAGTGCTAACCTGAAATTATAAAAACGTAGCAAAAATTTAATATAATTTAGGTTTAAAATTATATGCTCATGCCTTATAAATAATTTCATATGGAAACATTTTTTAACTAAATATTTACATGCAAATTAAGAATGCCGCTTACAGAGTAAGCGAATGCCTGATTAGCTTATCAATAAAGCTTGCACGCGCTCTATTATATCTATTTGCTTTAATGTATGACATGAAACTGATATTACATAAGTTGCTCTCCACGGTTCGAAGTATTTTTGTGTTGTCTATTTATCTATGTCCACAGCACTGCAGTGTTCGCACAGCTGGTTGTTTGTAACCGAATGGTATTCACCACCGACACCCGCATTTGCTTCGCTGCAATACGAAAATTATGAATCGGTGAGGGCGGTGTGGGGTTTCTGGCTTTTCAGGTAATGTATAACAAGCCTTTTGTTGAGGTTATACAATATTCTATATATCTGGAGGTAGCCCACGAAACATTTGCCAAATTCATTTAAAATCTAATTACCTTTTTTATGTACTAACAAAGAAAATAAAAAATTTTGCATTTGTACAAGCTGGCATAGCGAAGTTCCCATGCCAGACAAATGTGAACAAAATTTTGAATTCGATTTAGGTGTTATGTAAAAAATTTGACAGCGGTGCAGAATCGATTTTGCTAAATGCGGCGTTTTTAAAATAGCACTACGCTCCTGAGGACGCACCTTGACGTTGACCGCAGCATCAGTCAGGCTATCCTGTCCAAACCGTGCAGTGTTAACTCCAAAACTTTTTAACTAAAATGTAGCGCGAAAAAATAGGTAGGTAGGGAGTTTAGCCAACTTATAAATGGTTAGAAGGAAAAGAATAACATTTCATTCATTAATTGATTGTTAACGCAAACACGTTCACTCACAATCTTTTGAATAAATCTTGCAGCCATTTCTCTGATTTTTTACGTAGTTTCGCACTTAATTGGTTTTAGAAATCAAATCACCAACAGCACAACACAGCCGATTAGAAAGATAACAATTTCTCCGCTTCCCAAGAAATTCGTCGGAAAACTGGCAAAAATCCTAAAACCTAATATTGGCTGCCCTTACAAATTGCCAATCGGTTTTCTCTTTTGACAATTCTTTCTTAAATCACGTGCATTAAAAATTCACAATCAAACCGGCTCTGCTCCATTCACAATTGATAAATGAAAAATTAACATTAGCAAAGAACGTATATTAATTAATAATAATAATTAATATACGTTCTTTGGTAAAAGGAAGAATAATCATTTATATATGTGCATTTCGTTTGTTGTTGGGAAGCAAATTTTCCCGGCTTTTACTTTGACAATAAATTTGAAATATAGTGCAGTGATCGCGAAACAGAAGTTTGGCTCATTGCAGTTCGACAATTGCTCCCAACGATTTCCTAAGACGGTCAGTGGGAAAAGACATAGTATATTGTTGAGAAAAACCTCAAATAAAACGGCAACAATGTCTTTTGTATAAAAACAATTTGACTTCCAAATTACCAATTCCTTTATAAGCTCTAAACAAATTATTATGTTCAGGCGAAAACTGAATGAAAAATTAAAATGGTCAATTTAATTTAAAGTATAATTTGGTTGAAAATATGGAATTTCGAGTTTTAGTTCTATTTAAGAAAAGGAGTTAAAAAAAGGTAATCACAGAATTATTGTTGTAGCGTCTATTCAATCCCTCTTATACATATATACATATTATATATGTTAAATGTATATATGTATATAGCTGGCGCTTTGTAACCTACAGTTTAGGCTAAGTCGACTGATGGTTTTTTACAAGAAGATTTATTCAAGATTTTTGTACAATGACGAGATTTGAACCCGAGCCTTCCGAAGAGCACTACCCGAAGCTAACCACTCTGCTACCGCGGCCGCCACTCAGCTACAATCCCTCCCTTATGAGGAGGCAATGTTAGTCTAAGTCATCGTGGTCATCTAACTAGCTCTTTCGACGGTTTCGGACGAGTGGAAAAGGCCGATATAAAGACCCGACTGTCGCCAACACACATACATATATTGTTTTTTGTGAGATTACTCGAAACGCTCGAGGCAGCTCCAACTCTTCGTCTGAAACTAGTAGTGACTGGACTCACAGGCTCAAAATAATGTTATTGGACTAAATGTCCTTGTAGTCGAATACTCCGTACCTGATATGCCTTACGAAGTGGCTGGGGTTCAAGTAAATGTCTGTTGCGGTGCTCCCTATTGTAGTGTGGATGTGATGCTTCGCCGGCATCAGAGGGTTTCCTGTCACGGTCCTACTAGCGGTGTTCTGCTAAGTTTGTGACTACTTCCTCAGCGTCTCGCTAGTCAGTTGCGTTCGTAATCGGATCACCAGAATTTACGACCGGCCAAATGAATTGTTATCGAGTGCGGCACTATCTTTCCAAACATCTTTATCATATGCGATTCTCCAAGGAAAATAGGAAGTACACGAAAGGCTTAGATTGCATTAGCAATATCACGCTTAGTCAAACTTGGGTCTTCACTAACAATGTTATGAACTTGCTCAATGATTTCTTTTGTGGTTGCGGGTTTTGGCCGTCCTTCGCGTGGATCATCTTCAAGCCTAGTACGACCATGCTGAAATTCACCAGGCCAAAAATCAACGGTGCTTTCTCTTAGTGAGCGCAGAAACTTTTAAACCAACCTGTGTGTTTACTCCTAGTAATCGGAATTTTTACGCCATCGAGCTCGATCCGAGACTCCTTCGTCCATTTGGTGAAAATGTTAACCAATAATTTCACAGTTTTTAGTTGTAATTGTCGTGCAGTGACAAAGTGGGAAAGGTGGGAGAGATAACAGTTTACTTTCGAACATATGTAAGTTATCAACATCCAGATCAGACGCCAATATCGAGAAATCAACGGGAGTTTCGAGATGTAGAAATTAAATAGAAGTGGTAAAAGGGCACCACCCTGCGGATGGAAGGTTTAAATGTTTAAATTTAAAAGCTCATGTAGCCCATTGATAAGTTCTCAATGTCTGATAGGAGCCCTGAAGGAGTAAGGATGTCAAAAGCTTTTGACAGATCCATTGACACTAAGACGGTTCGCGCGCAGGCCCGGTTTTGCTTCTGGATGTTTATGGCGTTAAGTGCGATTGTGTTGCTGTGTACTGATGAGCTGCTGGGCAAAATGGCTTGTGATGGACATGAGCCACCAAATGAAATTTCCACACGTTCATCACATCACGTTAGGTTAAACAATGATTTGCCAGTGGCGTAGAGCTTGGTTGAGCTCGAAGAGAGGTTGTGGGACCTCAAAAGCTTCTCCCACTTGCTCATCTTATGGTGGGAAACTTTACGCCGCTTCTTCTTATTGAGATCTCCAATAATAGTATATGCGGGATCGATGTGACGAATAGAATTTCGCCTAGAAGGCCAGCCAGGATGAAGCGGTCAGCAGCGAACACGGCTACTTTGCGAAAAACACTTACAAGCGATGACTTCGGTTGGAGTTGGGGGAGCATGAGGGAGTTCTCGTCTAATTGCATAAATCCGGGCCAGTTAGCTTTGTTGAAGTTAGCAAACGTCCGGTAGTACACGATACTGCACGGTGTTTTGCAAGATGAACTCCAAGCCTCCACCATGGTCTAGCTCGGGATCTTTACGGATAATGTTATGTCCAACCTGACCCAGAAGATCTGAGCGGCCGCTGTGGTTTGTCTTTTGAATCACAGCTATTGGAAAAAGCGCCGGCTGATGAATTCCACTATCCCGTCGATCTTTTCCTGCAGTATGTTGCCGCTGTCTGTGCCCTCTCTTACAGCTGGCCAACCTACGCGCCACCCCACTCACCAGCCAGACCAACAGTTACACTTGACTGAAGTGAAGTGACCGACGCCATTATGTTCTGACACACGGAATAGACTGTGTGTGGCACTAGGAGCTGCTGAGCAACACGAACGAAAGGTGAAACTCTATGGATTAGCTATCTAAAGTGGGAAACACTGTCATAAAGGCTGTAACGGAGTTTTTCTTCACTTGGTTGGGATCAGCTCAGCCTTGCCAAGGGTATCTTAAAATAACAACACGCTAATTTACCCTAAAACAAATTTATTATTCTCATTAAATTGTAATATAAATATATATATATATATGTGCATACCTACATACATATATACAATATCTAATATTTAACTACCGCAGTTACTACTTCTTGTATGGGCTGTGGAGGTGAAAACTCTCTACTAGCCTCCTTTTCCAGTTACGTGAGAACCCTCTTAATTTTCTTTAAATTTTCCTCGCCTTGCGCGTAGTCAGAAATTTATTTAATAAAAACAATTTATTACTCTAAACAGTTTTACTTAATGCTATGTGCGTGTATGTATTGTATATGTGTACATGTTCACATAAATTCCACATCTGAGATTTTGGGATTTTTACAAGGCTTGGGGTCCAGTTAAACGCTGACAGCATAGTGCCACGTAACCCGTGGCTCACTCCCTGTGTCTTCAGCATCTAATCGTAATGGAAGACTGGTATATTTGTTTATGGCTCTCGCAGACGAAATATTCCGTGACTGGGTTCGACAGCAGCCCTGATGAGAATGATTTGAGTAACTCTGCAGCAATGTGTTGCTCCGTTGATGAACGCAGGAATAGTAGGAAAATAGGGCTCCTAGAGGATTTGGTGAAAGGAATTCTTGCACCGTTTTCTTGCACTAAATGATGTAGGAGCCCCATTGCGGTTTTGTGGTTTTGCAGTTTTGCGGTTTCGTGGTTTTGCGGCTTTATATTTTTGACATGCAGGAGCGGTTCATGGTTCTGGAGGTTTAGGTTAGGGGTGAGCGCTCACGTTTTAACTAAAAGTGTGTTCTCGTGTGTATGTGTGTACGAGCATGAGAATTTTTGTGAAACTATATAAATATGAAGATATGATAATTTTGTTTATATTATTTTATCGATTTAACTAAAAGTGTGTGTGTGTGTGCGCGTGAAAACTTTGAATTCTATAAAACCACAAACATATGAAGTTAATTTTTAACTAAAAGTGATTATTATATGAAACCGCAATCAAATGAAGATACTGCAGTTTATATGTGCTGAGAGTGAAAGATGGAATATAATTTTCACTTAGGAACTAATGGAGTTCCTAGAAAATTTGAAAAGGAGACAACATATTGAGAATTCGTAGTCAATGCATTTGCAACCAAGCGAGGTGAACTTTGTGCTACATATGTCACACAATTTCTAATTGCAGTAAATTTTGATGAATGTAAAATAATAAAAGAAACTGTATTGTGTTAATTATTTTTTATTATCCTTTTTGTATTCATATAAAATAAATTATTTCAAATTTAAAACATTTGTACATTTATAAATAAAACATTTGTTACAACTAAATTTAATAAATGCATATAAACTTTTTTTCAAGTACTTAGCACGGGCAAAAACACCAATATCTTTATATCTATAAACAAACTCTAAAAGATCAAAAAGAAGTTTATCTTCACGGATCCATTCAACATCACAGCTAATATCAAAATCTTCCGCTTGAATTTCATCAATAAACCGCTGATCTATCAAAGATTTTGCTCTCTGAATATCTTCATAATTTTTAAAATTATCATCAACTGGGGAAGCTTCATCCAACTCACCATTTAATAATCCTTTAGTGTTTACAACTCCATTTATAGGGGGAGCTGCTAGTGTTATTTCAGAATGATCAACACAATTATTTTCATTTTGGATGTTAGCTTTTCGTTGGGTGGCGTTTTAAGTGATTTTAAAACATGTCTTTTAGAAAATAAAGTATATAATGCATCAATGTATACATTTAAATCTAAATTGCATACAGTTTATACTCAAAATATTTATAAAGTAGCACTAAGCAATCTAGATGATAAGCGAATTGTACGAGAAAAAACATATGCTTATGGACATTTTGAAACACTATAGTACAATAGTTCTTAATTATTGTAATATAAAAAAATAAAAAATAATTAAACAACTTATATTTTACATATTTATCTTTTATTAAATAAAAATTTTAAACATAATTGACCACATATTACTGTGTATATTTTTGTATCTGTTCATAATTGTAATATATCGGTG